AAACATTCTTTGGTACCGCATAACATATGGCCCAAAGTTCAAATGTTGTGTGGGGAGAAATCAAACCCTGCATATTTCCCTGTTGACAACAACATTCAAGATACCATTCCCAAATAGAACTATCACATCTCTAATGCAAAAAAAGAACTGTAATTCTAGGCAATGTGCTTCGCTTTTGGTATCAAATCAATTGATTAGAGGTAAATGAACAGGTCTAAACACCCCCCCAACACACACACACACAAATGCTTAACATGCCACGAAAGCAGACACTGACTTTACGTGGCACTGGAGAAGGTACATGGAAAACGGCACTCTCTGACCAATCAACCGATGAGCAAACAGAAATGCCATCTTTCCAGTAAGCAAGAAGTATTGATAAGGCTTTGACACCTATCACAGTTTCCACCAAGTCCATTGTACATTCCACAAGAAAGTGCCACTTATGGAGGCAAAACAGGAAGGAATTCAAATTTGTACAATCCAAATAAAATAAAATAACAAATAAAATACCCTGCTTAAAGAAAAAAAGGATGTTGTAAGAGGGCATTTTACTATGGCGCACAAAAAAGTTATTGCACTTCAGTCCATTTCAGGTGGATACTTTGACGTCAATACAACATAGAGAAAAGGAGTCATGCCAACATTCTACAAGACACTGGGTTACAACTAATCTCCAATGCATTACCACACAAAAAACGACACGGCACACGTCTACTTCACTAAAGAGTTCACACGTTGTAAAACTAAACACGTTTTTTTCCATACAGAGTTTGAACAGGTCACTAGCTAGAACCGATCAAATGTTTCGCCGTTATGGTTTAATTCAATTTACAAAGGTTATTTGTTCATCTGCGGTGTCGTGAGAAATTCGATCGCGATTTTTGACGGCTCAAAACGCAACCACATGGATGGTGGCTATTTCTGAAACTTACAACAGTTGTTCATTCATAAGGCTCACTAAAGGTGTTAATGGAAGACCATACCCTGTGGCATGTACTTGATAACAAAAGGCACAATCCCACATACTCGTCACAAAGTGTAGTACTTTAAAGAGATGATTAAGATGCTTACAGACTCCAAAGAAATAGCAGCATGCCACGCTAAGCAGTCATTTTCTCAATCAAAGCCAACAAGCAAGTAAGGTCAGTGTTAGATTTACAGATGAACTTCTGAAGGTCCGTGATCGGTCAATGAAGCTCTTGGGATATCTCTGGTGGCACTATGCAACTATGTGAGATTTAAAAAAAAAAAAGTATTCCTGCATAGCTTTTTTTTTTGTTTTGTTTTTTTATAAATATGAAAATGTTTTTTAAAGGGATCCCTACATGCCCTGTCAGATCAGCCATTCAGTCAGGCTCCGGTGGTCTTCTAAATAGCCTTATGAAAACAAGCTGCTGGCAAGAACAACAAAAAGCAACTATTTTTGATTAGATCATTCGCTTGCGGATTTACAATTTGAACTATTAGCGCTTACTGAGTAGAAACATGAAGTAACACTAAGCAAGGGTGAAGGACATCATCAAGTTTAAGAGCACCCCTTAAAAACTCCAATGTTTTCCATTTCAAGGCCTCAGACCGTGACCTTAGGATTCCAGTTGCATGGAGCATGCGTTGCTAAAAGCCCACCCAAATTTCATGTACCAGTACATATAGCACTAGATAGCTAGTTCATGAGGCAAGACTGCCACGTCAAGGCAATTCTGACCACACTTCTTGAGGAATTATGTACAGCACATCATCTTGTGCTCTTGTTATTTACGTTGTTAGAAATATTTGTATTTATAACATCACACAAGTATTTACTACCTAAATGCTTTAACGAAGACATCGAAAAATGGGGAGAAAATGCATCTACTCTGCCTTGTATAAAATGAAATTAATCATTGGATGATACATACTTTTTTCTTAGATGTATTCCCAAATCTTTTACCATTCACTACCAATACTGATTTTTTTTATTCTGCAAATTGATGTTTTTATAAGTCATATTCAATAGTGAAAATCAGTGCTTTTGATGTTTTATTTAGGAGAATGAGTAGAGTTGGTCAAATATTAGCAATTCCAAATAAATTTTACAGCTAAATATTTGACGTGTATTAAACAAAAAGACTATTTTTTATGTTCTAGTGCAAAAACTCCTAATAAATTCCATGAAAATGATTATTTTGAGGCCAGAAGCCATTATGGTACATCTTTCAGCAAAACAACCTATAGAACAGTGTGCTTCTTATGAATCTCATCGGAACGAGATCCCAGGTTAACGACAAAATCTCTCAAGTGCTGCGATTGCTGAACTATACCATTTCCTCTTAAGGCAAAAAGTTGGGAGATAGACATGGGTTAAATGAAACGGGTGTTTTGAGTATTGCCTTAAATGGATGCGTCTTCAAGTAGTAAGGACGCTGAGGTCCACTGAGGTAAATCAGACATTCTATCAGCCATTAATACCTTTGCGAGAAAAAAAAAAATCTAATACAAAAATGCAAGGATGGACATAAAATAAGGACACTGAGTTAGCTACAATTAATCTGCTTTCCAACAAAATGGTTACAATTATTAGACAACTCTAGTTTCTAACTGCCTGCATGTAACTGCAACCATTATAGCTTGGTCAACAGGCAATGAAACAAAAACAAGCTCTTTAAACTGCACAATTTGCTGATCCAGAATAAAACAAGAAAAGCTATGTAAATGTGTCATTTTGGTAAATGTCAAATTTGCCCTTCGGTTAATGATGAAATTAAGGCGTTTCATAATTCCATTGCTTTGAAATAAACCTCAAATTATCAGTGGTTTGTGGGAACTATCGATTACAATGGAACATTTATAAAATATTGTTTTTGAAGGAGCAGTTGACTGAATGACTCCAATCCGGCTACTCAATTTATAAGGGCAAATGCTAAGTTATGGCTTAGCCATGAAAGCTTTCAGATGGAGGTGAGCTCCACCAAGGGCTAACCAGCCCATCAGTATAGCTTAGTTACGAATATACTGGCATTTTTAGACAGTCTGATTGTGAACGTACTGGCATTTTACAATAATTAACACACAATGTGGATCTCCCAAAAAATATAATGGGCACAGTAGCTTATGTTAGCTTGGACTTCGTTCGTCTTTTTTCTTTTGGTAAAGGTCTTGATGCACACTCAAAAACTGAACCCAAGGAATCATTCATTCACATTTTTACAAACATATCAAAATGAGAAAGGAAAAAGAAAAGAAAAAAAGTTATGGCACTAAATGATTTTAGGGAGAAAACTCCCCTTACCAGTTGTACTTTACTCCAATAAAAAAAAAAAAAAGTCTTGCCACTTTGTGATCGGTTCCCGTATTGTTCGTACACAGAACACCTAATGCACAAATTCAGTCTAAGTTCTGAAAGGGTTCAGTTCCAAAGTTCCTGTTGCCAAGCTAATTATTTAATCGCTAACTACAGCATTCAGGATTTTCACCAACATCGAAGCAAGCTGCTACCATCATGGCATACATTCGACAAAACAATTCAACAATTTTAGTGCAATGCCAATAAGACGATTAGAAATTTGAGGAATTAAAACAAATACGTTTTAGTTTGTTTTGGCTGGATAAGAATTATTTTCGCTAATAAATAGACAAAGATCTCCTCTAAAAAAAAAATTAGCTCCAAGATACAATTGAAAGCAGCACTTTTTCTTGCACCAAAATGAAATGTATTACTAATCACAGGCTCCACGGGCACTTGTTTTTCGAACTCGACTACTTGTGGTATGACTAGCTAGACTAAATTTATAAATATTTTTTTTTGTACAACTACAAGCAGTATAACTGGCAGTGCAAATAACTTCAAGCTCATCAACTTGCACTTCATTATCGTACCCAGTGCTGTCTAGACACGCACTAATTCCCTCCACCAAACAGCAGCAAAAGTTATTGTACGTGAAAAAGTCAAGCTCAAGTACAGGTAAATAAGCTTGAATTAAACTCCCATGAGGGACTTCCTCTTAGTCATGTAGCCCATTTAGAAATTTTTTAAGATATGACTTGACTAATCTGATTTGCACACATGCACATTTGTACTCTTGCAATTAGAGGTCAGATATTTGCCCATTTACAGCTTATGATAGACGCAAAAGCGTATTTTTTCATCCTTTTTTGTTACTGAACAAGCAAGTGCTTTACATCAGGTCTGCGTGGAGTGGAGAAACTTGTTTAAGCAGCCAAAACTTGTCATTACAAAGACGAAGAGGTCATTTCATAAATCAGTATAAATATGCTCTCCACACAGCCTTAAAACATCTAATGTTACCGTTTTCATTTGTCTACACACCTTCAATCACCAATAAAATATCAGTTAATGTTACAACACTTCAAAGCTGCTCTATCTACATCACTAAAATCCTGATACACGGCAATGAAAGCAACAGTATTGGTATAATTGAGAACAAGTCCACATTTCACACCTGAAGTATGCATTAATTCTTAGATGTCTTGAATTAAGGGAAAGAGATTTATATAGCTCTTCCTAATTGGGAAAAACGCTTTTGCTTGTTTAGGAAAAAATAAATCTATGGCAAAATTAAAAGCCCTTTCAACTGATTGTCTCATTACTGACTGAGCATATATTGCCTGTTTGTGGTGCACAAACTAAAAAAGGGATGTTTCAAACACTCATTGAATGTTCTTATTTTGTGTTTAGGTGCAAAAAACCTAATGGAAGCACAATCTTAACTTTGTTAATTAATCTACCTTTGGCAATAAGGAAGCATTTTAAAAAGAGCAGGGGTGAATGTTATTTCAGTACTTAAATGGAAAAGATATTTCTTGGATATCTATTAGTTCCTATTAAAATGGTATTTAGAAATCGCTCGGCTTTGGTCATACCCATGACTGCTCCCTACAAACAAATGTAAAAAAGCTCCAATCAGCCTGAACACTTCAGTTTTGCAAAATTCACATATACACTCCCCAAAGTCTATATGAATCATACGTTCATCTATTCAGGTAATCAATTCATGACGGGTTTAGGGGACTGCATATGGTGTTTAACTGATTGGATCCTAGGTAGGCAAAACTAAATTCAGTAGGCACTGTGAAAGCAACTCCACACTTAATATTATAGCAAAGCAGTAGATTTAATTGAAGATATTTTATGAGGCCCAAGAACAAAAAATAAAACCAACCAAAATAAATAAAACCGAAGGTCCCAAGGAGCAAGTACTGTGTATGACGTTTGTGCTTTCTATACTTCCTTAGTGTAGCATCTTCATAATGTTGTTTAAACGGCCAAAATCATGACACTTGTAACTCCTTTCTTCTGCCCACCTACAAACAGTGATCTGGACTACCCAATACCTCCATTGTAAACCTAATATGAACCTCAACCTCAAAACCCATCCAAACACTATCCCTTTTCTCTCTAACAAGTAAACAAGCATTACATATCAGACCCCTCTATCAGGAGGTCATTGGTCTTTTGGCTTAAGGTAGTATGGTTTCCCTTCTGTCAATATGATTCTGTTAGGTTGTTTGTTTTTTCCTGATCTGTGCTAAATCAGATTACACCTCACATAAAAACCTCAAAACGTAATAATCAAGTATGGGATGAAAAACTTGGACTGTTGCGCAAAAGTGGATGTCACACATACACGTGCAAGCACGCACACAAACACACACACACACACACACACACACAAGACCACTATCAAATACATGGTCCCGCAAATTCATGCAAATCTAGTGTAACCCGTTTAAATTGTTCCTCAGGGCAGGCTGTAAATTCCTATGCAAGGCCACAGCGTCACGCAAATAGGAGGCATGATATGGAAACCCATCCATTATCACTGTTACCATGGAGACACACAGCTGCATAATTCTAACATGAACAGAGTCAAATCGACTGCAAATGGAGAAGAAATAAAGGACTGACTCGCCAGTGATTCATACTGGTTCGAATAGATGGCTTAGATTCAGATTTTAGATTTTAGACTCATACTGAATGGACAGCATCTAAAATGGGAGTCAGGAGGTGGGAGGAAAAGGAAAGTGGGGGAAAATAAATAGAAATAAATAGCTAAGTTCGTCCTCTCGTGTTCGCTCTCTACTGAAATGTGAAGAAAAGCTTTGATACTGGCACAGGAGGGATTTGTGGCTGTAATTGCATATAGATTTATCTAGATGTGTAGAGAGGACCAAACCGAGTGACCACACGTTTTTTTTTTTTACGAGTAAGACCGCCTCCCCCCGTCAAGTAGCCATCCAAGCCGATAGTAGCACCATGGCGATCTTTGCCGTAACCATGGCGAAGGCCTCCATTGGGCAGGGGGGGACAGGCGGCGGTGATGCCACAGTGCTTGAGCAGGTTGAGGCTGGGAGAAGACGGTGAGGACGAAGAGGGCGTGGAGGAGGAAGGCTTCATGGTTGACAGAATGAGAGCTAGGCAGTCGGCAACAGCTTTATTGGATGCGCAAGCCAGGGCTGGTGTATGACCTGTGACATGACAAAAACACAACAGAGACATCTTAGCCAAGGAGAAACTCATTCAAATACATCAGTTACGTGATTTATGAAGCAGTTGTTAAGATGGGACACTTTTCCAGAATATAAGTCCCTTTTGTTTTTAACATCTGAAATGTGCTGCGATTCATATTCCAAATTGACTTATTTCATGCAAATAACATCAAGCACACACAATATATCAGTTCTCGCATGGCTAACTTGACATCGCAGCCTACTCATCAAACTAAAATGCCGTCAACCAAGCCTCACATGTCTCACCCTCTGTCTTTCTCAAAGAAAATGGCCTTTTTTTCAGTAAATGAGGGTAAATTGTTGTCAGTTGTTGCCAAATTATAAATGTTTTATCTCTTGGGTTTCAGTTTTTATCTCTCCCTAGTTTCAACTTCAACACCATTTGTACTTGATAGGCAAGAACAAGTTTATTTCCCACATGCCAGTAATTCAGTTTCACTTTAAATAGGTTTAGGCTCGGTGTTTATAATAAATGTTGTTTATAATGAATGTCATCATAACCTGATCATAACTGTGGTGTAAAGGGACCTAAAATACAACCGTAGTGTTTATATTTTGATTGTTTTTGTAATTGTTTTATTAACATATTATAATGTAATAATAAAATGTGATTTATACGCCAATACAACTGATGTGATTTTTTTTTTTTGTCTAAATGCAATTTTCACTCGGTCCAACAGGTGCAGAAAATATTTATGGAAAATACGGTTTATATATATATATATATATA